TGATGCCGTGCTGTGTGTGGAGCAGTTTCTGTCCCGAAATAAAAGTGTCAGGGTGTCACTCGCACTCATTCCCAGGTCGCACTGGCACCGAGGTGACTCCGAGGTAGTCTGCTGTTCTCGCTGAGGCAACGTGAGTCCCCATCTGTGTGGCCGCTCCTCATACAGGCCCAGAGAGGCCTTCGCCCGGCTGCACGGAGCTCCAAGCCCGGGCGGGTGAGGGTGGCGTAGAGGGAGCTCTGGATGGGCCTGCCCTCCACCACGCACTCGGGCAGGAGGCCCCAGGGAGACTGGACGTGGCTGTGTGACAAGCCAACCTTAGACTTAGGGATTTTGCCTGACTTTGTAAATAATCTCTTTGAGAAATGCCAGTGACACAGTTACTCCCAGAAATGAAGAGAAAAATGCCTCATCCTTTCGAAATAAAGTTCAGTGTCAAATCACTGCAGCATATCCAGGATGAAGCTGTATTTTAAATTCCGTTTTCCCTAAATAACATGGGTGATGAGGTGCTTTTGAGATAATAAAGGCTTTGTCTTTGGTGTTAAACAGAATCGATCTAATTTCTCTCTAAGTCAGAGATATCTTTTATTTATTTATTTATTTATTTGGAGAGGTTTTTGCTATAGAGCACGTGCGCTCGCCAGAAAGAGAGAGAGACAGACAGAAAGCGAGAAATCACTCCCCAGGGAAAATGGCCACGCCGCAATCCCTCCTCCTCGGGGTCTTCCCTCTGCCTGCCGGGCTCTCACAGCCACGTGCACGGCCGCGGTACACAGCGCGTGGTCTGTCCTGCGGGGAGAAGAGTGTGCCGCCTCCGCCGAGACCCCCACCAGCGAGAACTCGCCAGTGCTCAAGGTCAGGGAGTGGGGAGGAGCTGGAACCGAGTGGAGCTTGGCCCACACCTCGCCGTGCACCCTCAGAGCCTGCCCCTTCTCTGTTCCGTGGTCTCTGTGTCCTCTGTCCTCCCCCAGGAGGAGCCCAGCACTCGGAGACTGACTCGGACTGAGGCCAGAGTGTAGCCAGGACTGACGGCCTTGGTCCCTCCCTCAGCCCGGACGCTGAAGCCGTGGGATCTATTGTGGCAACCAGAGGGACTGTACGCAGCGGGAGCCGGGGCTCATGGGAAGGTGTTGAAGGGGCTTGTGTCGAGTGATCTGGGGGGTCTGAAGGAAGTGGGTGCCCCAGGCAGCAGAATCCCGGCTGTGAGAGGCCCCCCGATTTGCCCACGAGGTGAGAGGAGCCCTGGAGAGCCGGAGCACTGACGTGCGGGGCCACAGGCTGCTGGTAGCTGGGCACGAAGCCGGGGACCTTGTGTTTGCAGTGACCTCGCTGTTCTCTGTGCTCAGACACACTGACAGAGCGGCCCTGTCTGCTGCTGAGTCTATGAGACTGGCGGAGCTCAGCGGGAGACAGCTCGCTGCACACGGCCTGCTGGCCCTGTGCAGAGGCCTCGCCTTGACCCCGGAGCCCCTGCCTGCCCCTGCCTGCCCCTGCCTGTCCCACGTCTTTGGGGTAGGGTCACAATTCCCATGCTGGAAGAGGAAGAGGAGGAGGAGGAGGCATGAGCAAGAGTGAAAAGAAAGGCTTGGGGGGAGGGACAAAACAGCAGATTCCATGTCACCCTAATGCATGTGTTACGGGGTGCCAGACAGACCCCAGCAGGCCAGCAGCCGGCGTGAAAACTGGCTGAGCACAGTACAGCACGCTCTGGAGCAGGGGGAGCAGGGAGAGCAGCGGGGCGTCAGACCAGCCAGCTGGGGCACGTGGTGGGCTTCTGTTATGATCCCCTCTGGTGGTCTCTCCTTTTTGGGGACCAGGTTGTCTTTGATTGACAACCAGGGGCTTCCATAACTTGCATTGCCTTTGCGCATGCGTGTTCCCAGAATGCATCCTGAACGTTCACGGGTCAGCGTCGAAACCACACCGCTCATGTGTGCCGAGTGGGCACAGGGGGCTTGAGGACAGGCCGCTGGCCTAGTGCGCGTGTCGGCCTTGGGGCAAGCATGGGGAGGGCGGCTGTGGGGTGCTGAACCTCGAAGCAAGGAGGGATGTTTCCGCAGGGGGCCGATGCCCTTTCTATTGGGAACTGTTGGCGACAGGCAGAGCCGTCCGGGTGGGACCTCCACTGAGGGAAGAGGGGAGCAGGCCGGGGCCACCTGATCACATCTGACTGGCACTGACAGATCCAGGGTCCCGTTCCTCTCTGGCTAGAAGGGGATCTAAAACCATACCAGGAACAAAAACGAATACAGGTCATCGGTGTGCAGGGGTCGTCTGTGTCCTGAGGGAAGGTCCGAGTGAGGGGAGGTGACACGGAGTGGCCATCCCTCCCTTAGAAACGGAATCCACCCTTCAGCCACCAAGGGAGGGCCCTGGTCCTGCAGACATCCCTGATTTTAAGTGACAGTCAGCCCATCGCCTCGGATATGGGTAGTGTCACGCCACGTCGGTGACCTGTCTGTCCCCTGAGAAGCAGGCAAGATGGGGTAGACGTGCAGACATACTGGGGGACCTGGAGGAGCATCGGGGGGAGAGGGCCATCTGGTCCAGGCACCTCACCCCAGTAAGGGGAAAGAGGAATGAGGACGGGGCGGAGGGGCCTTCGAAGGCAGCGCCATTCTGAGAAAATGTGGCCTTGGCCATGGCGAGGGCCCTGTGCTAAGACGGCACGGGAGAGGAGGCCCTCACTGGGCAGGAGTGCCCCCGGCCTCGTGTCCCTGAGCACAGCACAGCCTGTCAGTGGTCTCCGCTCCTGGCAGCAGAGGGTCCTCGAGGGCCACGTTCTGCCCAGCAAGGCCGCTGCTGGGTGCTCTGCATCCACTGAGCCCCCTGGAAGCAGAGGCCAAGATGGAATTAGACACGCAGGAGGTTATAAGGGAAACGCCTTATAAACGCCTATAAATGCCTGCGAAGGGCAGAGGGGAGGCGTGGCGGGCGGCCTGGATGGTGGCAGCTGTGCACTGTTGGCGAGTGAGCCCATCATGGAAGAGTTTCCTAACGCTCCTTTGTCATGTGTCCTGAGCTCGGGGCTGGGAAGAGCAGAGTCCTCAGGAGTCACGTTAGGCAGCGCCGCGTTCTGCAGGGCTCTTTTTTGGAGGGGCCTGGCGGGTGCCCCCACCACAGCAGTTCTCCGTTCCTCAGTGGGGAGCTCCCCACTCCCAGGGAAGATGTCTGCAGGTGTGCTTAGCTGTCACAGCTGGGGAGGGGTATTGCTGACATCGAGCGTGGGGAGGCCAGGGTGCCACTCAGCTTGCTCCAGTGCACAGGCGAGTCCCCACAACAGACTGTCCTGCCCAGACGTCAACTGTGGTGACATCGGAAGGCTGCCTGCTGGTCCTTTCGCTCCCCCTGCAAGGTCAGTGGTGCTGGAGACTTAAATGGGCTCCGAGAGGCGGTCCAGAAAGGTGGTGTGGGGCAGCTCAGAGCGGGGGCTCCCAGGTGGAGAGGACTGTCCTGGGCAGCCCGAGCGGCAGAGCCACTCAGCCAGCCCAGTGACAGGTGCACCCCAGAAACAGACACTCTGCAGGACAGCAGCCTTGTTCCTATTTCAGTGGCAAGTCCAGGTCTAGGGAACGCTCTGACCCCATTAGATTTCCAAAGATGTAACTAAAGAACACACAGGTCCCTTACGTAAATTCTGCGAATTAGTAAAATGGTGTAAACTTGACCCCAAGCAGGATGCTTTTCACACCTGGAGAGATGTCCCCACATCTGCCCTGCTAGTCTGTCCTATCTGGAATGTAGTTTAAAACCTTTTTTAAAAAAGTTAATTTGCTATAGGGCTTGCGCACTCACCAGAGAGAGGGAAAGTGAGAAGGCAAAGGCACCAGACCCGAGACTTGAACGGCAGTCACCCGTGTGGGAGTCCAGACCTAGCCACCAATGCCACCCGC